TATTTCACCATTTAATACTTGGAATCGGATCGGATAAATTTTAAATCAAATGGTACGAAATTTATCCGATCCGATTCTGATTATCGTTATTGATGGTTATAAAAAAATGGTTTAAAACATCGATGACCTAAATTACACAATCAATATAGTATAGCCGAATTGGGAATCTATACTACGTATACGTACTGATCTGGCGTTAGCGTCAGGGTTAGTAATTACAGTTGATCAATATAGCGATAGCTTTTAATTTCAGCCCATACTATACTGATCTGCTATATTCCAATTGGTTAATTTCGTTCAGTTAACGCGGTTGAGAAAAATTATTTTAAAAAAAAGTGTATGATTTGGATCTCTTGCAGTATAAGTGACACCATTAATACAGGTTATCCCCATTATATCAACCTTTAAATAACTCGGGATCCCATGCTTTAGATTTCAATAATTTTGGGCTCGTTAGAATCGTCTCGTCGAGACGTTCATTTTTTGTGGTAAAATCACCAAAAACTGATCAGTGAATAAAAAGTCAAATATTTTACCATTTTTAGTAGTAATGACGCAAATCCGCCCATATAGGGTAACCTGTAAAATGTATTATTCAAATTGATTTAGAATAGGTGTCAATTATACTGCAAGAGATCCCATGATTTTATAATTCTTGAATTTACTACAAATAACTCGTAAAGCAATTGCGAAAGAATTATAAGAAATGATTTGATTTTTTTTTTTTTTGGAAAATTCTAAATGTACACGGGTATTAATTTGCAAATCTAACATGCAAATCTAAACAAGTTGAATAAACGAAAAGTTAAGTACTATCAAAGTATAGGGTAAGGGTGTGCTTGGGAAATAGTGTATACCAAAATTTTGCAAGAAATTTTTTTATTTTAATATCCAAAAGGTGTTTCATAAGCGAAATTTGAGTTATAAACGCAATAATTTGACGTTACACCTGATCGTGGGATCTGATTGGCAGATATAGTGTTCAAATAGAAATTGCCTAATGATATATTAATTGATATTAAAATTCATGCATGTATAAATTATCTTAAAAATATTGCTGCTACTCTTGTTGAATAAATTCGGCCGTGTTTGTCAATTTGACATCAGTATTTTTTGTAAAGTTTAAAAACGGATTTCTTTTAAAGGAAGTCTTTCACGAGACATTGTTAATGATTTTATTATTCGTTATTTTTTAGTTCGTAATCGTAATAAATACAAATTGCATTACAATCACGTAAGATCATGCAATTAGTGCTTTAAATATACATGTCTATCATAAAAAATTATTACGTACGGTACTTAGTCTGCCGAAATTAGTCTACGTACGTAGTCTATATGCCGAAATTATTGCCGAAATTTTTTGAATTCTTTTCATCAAAATAGATTATGTAGCATAGTTACTTCGGAGGTTTCCTATAAAAAAATGTATCAATGCCGAAATGTTTGCCGAAAATTTTTTTCAAAAATAATTTAGACTCAAATTTATGCTCTGCTAATATGTAATCAATTTACCATATAGATATAGGTAATTGCCTATCACTATACATTATTAATAAATTTATCATATTGCCTATCACTATACATTATTAATAAATTTATCATAATGGTTAATCTAATATTGATAAAGTTTGATTGTATTAATACCTTTACTTAAAACTATACATGACATATGTAGAAATTATTGTGGATTTGTCCGAAAGTATTCGATATCACCAAATTACCAAAGTATTCTATCAAATTGCAAATCATAAGCACGTACGTAGAATAAGGGTGTTCTCAAGCTCCTTACTCAATAGATCGGAGGCAAAATTTTAAATACCGTATCACCCATTTTTTTAAATATCAGATTAGCGGAAATCGTAACAAGATCTTTAAGCTATCTTTAAGCTAAGTTACTCCTGCTAACCTGACATTTAAAAAATGGGGTAGGGGGGTGGTGCTTATTTATGGTAGAATACAGTAGTCGGAAATTGAATAAATTAATCAAATGAGTTATCATTTCGATAAACGAATTAACGAGATAAATACCATCATTTTTTTTCTTCAAAGAATTTACCATTGATAAAGATCACTCATGCATTACTTTTATTTTTTATATCAAACACAAATAGGCATTTTATTTTTAATTCTCGAGCTTTTAAACAAATAATCGATACCTTGATCTGACCGTAATAAATACAACCTATCTTTTAACATTTAATCAAATCGTAATGAATACTGCTATTCTATTTTTTTCGTTCAATAAAGTTAATTATATTATCTTAATATTAATATTGCAAAATTACTACGTATTCTTGATGGATCGTACCGATCCTGATGGAGTTTGACAAAAATTTATTTGAGTACTGTTCTTGATAGGGGTTCTAAAATTGATTCTAATTTTTTTTTTCATGTACATCACTATAGTAGTATAGTATTTTAGAGGCTCTTTTTTAGAACCCTATCAAGAATGGTATGTAAATCGAATTTTTTTCCTACCCTATAGGGGTCGTCTAAAGCATGGCACCTTCCGAAACCACCCGACATACGTCCCGGATTATTCCGAACAAACAAAAGCATGAAAATATAATACTAACCTCATCTATCCTATGTCTAACTTTAACCCTAATATTAATTAAAAATTGGAAAATCGGAAGATTCCAGGTTTTAGATGTCCCCCTATCGGGAATAGTACCGTTAAAATTTCGGCAGCCCGTTGAGTAGAAATTTTTTTAAGGTGTTTTATGTGTCAAATCACGAAAAATAGAAAAAAAGTATGCTCAAGTATTTAATTTTATAAATATTGTCGGTGTTGCTTATACAGTCGTCCCTCTATATAGTCACCTCCCATATAATCACACCATATGTAATCACATTTTTGTTTAGGCCAAACTAGACCTCCCTATAAGCACAACCTCTACATAAGCACATTTTGAAAAAAATTTACTATGTGCCCAACTGTGTGATTATATGGGAGGACGACTGTAGTAGTATAGTTGGAAATACAAAGGAAATTATGTAGGATTTAAAATAAAAGACAAGCGTATGGCATATGTATACGTATAAATAATATATTATATACGTATATAGTAGGTTATACATTACTACCTGCAGATAGTTAAAGTTAGGGTTAGGACTTGTACTTCATGTCACGTGTTAGGAGTATGGTTAGGGCAGTGTTGGGTTCGGGACAATTGGGACAAACTTGGGACAATTTAAATTTATTAATAACTCGAAATTTTATTATGAAGACATCGGTTTTATAAATTTAAATAAAAATAATTAAAATTTAATCATATCAATATATCATTTTGAAAGTTAAATAAAAGGTAAAAATATTCTAGGGCCATTGATGGGACATGTCCGGGACAAGGCTAAAATTGTCCGAACCCATCGCTGGATTAGGGTATAGGTTTATATGAATAGTTCAAATGTTAGTCTAAGAGTTTGATCAACTATCATACGTATGCATGAGTATAATAAATGCTTATTATTGTATTATAAATTACTAAATTTATTAACCCGACTATACTATTTTACATAAGACTCTATTGAGATGCTTGAGCGTTATCATGATCATTACTTAATTAATTGATTGTGATGTCATAAATCAAAGGGTCGTACTATTTTAAGTTGTACTAGTATTAGATCCCGTCATCATACAACGGGCTATAAGGTATGCTACAAATATGTTATGCGAATATTGCAAAGATCGTTGTATTAAATTGTTAGATCTGCATTTACAACTGTTTCTATAAATTCCGAGACACTTGAAACATGACCGAAATAATAAATTTTTGACATCAGCCAACATCAGTAATTTATTGATTCTGACTCGATAACTTGTGGATTCGGTTACTGGAAATATGAAAGCAGCTGAAACACCGACTATATTGAGTTTTGGTTGACGAAAAATTCATTGCAAGATTCGGATAAATGTTGGCACGGGATCCGTTACGCGCATGGATGCAACTGATTTCCGTGCAACAATCCAATTTTTTTTATATACAGTATATCGATATGTAAATCATTTTTTTTATTGATTTAATAGCTTATCGAATGAACGTTTAAATCAATAAAGGCAAAAATAATTTACATGCAAGTTAATACCGGTAATATTGGTTTGAATTTTCCCGATCGAAAAATGTCGAAGGGTGATTTTCCTAGCAAAGATCCCATATCATAGATATTTTTTTTTATACATTAACTAACACTAAGGTTCGGGGTGGATAACCAGTGTTGTCAGGTGGTAAATTATCATCTGTAAATTACGGTAATTTACCAGGTAATTTACCCGAAAGTGTGGTAAATTTACCTTATATATTCATAGATTTGCTAAAAAAAATTTTTAGTCATAACCCTAACACTAATACAAAATAAATACTGAAATATATACACCTACAAAATGTTAATCTGATTGGCCAAGTCAATACTGTGGTCGGAACATAGCGGCATTAAATTTGATTGTATGATAGAGCGGAATATTACGCAATACGATCTACATATTACTGTACGTTTTGTATTACAAAAATATGTATGTCCAGTTGTTTTATTCGTGACGATTTAGTTTAAGTTTAGAATTCGGTTAACCAATAAAATTTTTACTGTTTCTTCTGTACAATTACAATGAAAGCTCGTTATGTTGTGTATGTTGTGATTGGCTGTGATAGTTTATAATATAATCGCGTGATCCACAATAATTTTTTTACCCGTGCTCTGAACCCTAACATTATTAACTTATTAAAATGCGGGAAATATCGATTTATGTTTTCTGGATTGCAGAAAAAACATATATATATATATATTATACAAAGTTGAAAATTAAGATCAAGAGTCACTATTATTAATTACATGAAAATATTTGCATTTAGCAATTATACCAAATAATAGTATATCTCTTTAACCATTTTTTAAGTACAGTACATTAACATTTTTGTAACACCTATATTATATGATGACCAAAATTGCAAGAATCGTAGTTTTACAGGTTTATAATAAAGATTTTAATAACATATTCCAAGCTAATAATCATCACCACTACTAACAACCTAAGCTAATAATCATCACCCCTACTAACAACCTAAGCTAATAATCATCACCCCTACTAACAACCTAAATTACGAGATTAATATATTAGTGTAATCAAAGAATGAAAATTTAATATATACATATTTTAAGAAGAAACTTACTTCTTTGCAGGTTGGCCTTAGAATTATAGTGTGTTCAAATTGTGCCGTGTATGAACCTTTTATGTCAACCAATGGTGGATAAGATTCCACTACACCAGAATCAACTAAATGTTTTAACGCTAACGCATATTTAGTTTCTCCCACACGGTCGAGATATCGACGGCAAAATGGTAATGTGCCAAAATGCTTGCTAATGGAGTTTAAAAGAGCTTTGGCTTTCTTTATACTATATATAAAAGCTAGGTTATTTCGGAGTTTGTAAAATGAAGAGATTAATGATCTTAAAAGAGATAAAATATCCTTACCGAAATGTAGATTGATCTACATCATGACGTTTTGCATAGTGACTACATTCACCATCTTCACGAACATAACCCTTCCCCGTACTTCCAAAGGTTTCAATAGCAAAATATTCACCTTCCTATATATCAATATATATGTCAGTTATTTTATGAACTTTATATAGTTTAAACCATATAAACCATTAAGTACTTGCCTCCATTTTTGTTGATGATGAACCGCCTTTGACAATTGGCACAGATTTTCCGGCGTGAATTTGGTATGGAAGTATCGAATGTCCGTTCAAATTACGAATTGGTTTTACTACATAAATATTCATAAATATTTATAAATGTAAAATATTTTAAAAGTTTTAATACAACCAGCTTGTAATAATTAATAAAATAAAAATACCTTGATATGTTTTTTGATTAATTTCGACCTCGTAACTCTCCATGACTAATAATTGGTATAAAAAATTAGTAATAATTGAATATATAAACATCTAATTTATCACAGAAACATGATAAATTTACCTTCTTGAATAGCAGCGCCGATATCATTTAGTCTCACATCAATACCTGCCTCCTATTAGCAATAATAATTTATTTTAGTTGGTCTTTTTTTTTCTCTCTCAACAAGAGACTAATTGAGAGACTAATTAAAAGACTATTTAAAAGCCTAACTAAACAAGACTAATTATCTGTTAATAACTTACCCGAACACCAGTATTAGTAGCATCTTTAACTGCTTCTTTGAGGGGATCATAGACAGGATTAAAAGTAAGTGTGAATGCACAATCAACGATGCGACCTGTAAATTGCAATACAAATCATTAATTAATTAATCAACAAATAATAATTAAACCAACAAATAATATAAAAGTTACTATAAACATTACCATTGACGTGCGTTCCAAAATCGATTTTGCATACATCATCATATTGAAGAACTGTTGGATCGCCAGCATTCGGTGTGTAATGAGCCGCACAATTGTTTAGGGAACAACCAGTTGGAAATCCAATTCCTATAATATTAGTAATTCCAAAACAAAGATTAAATTAAAAATGTATCTCAAAATGATAGACCAACAACTCATAAAAAAATAATATTCGAGGTCAGAGGAGGTTTGAGAAAATTAATCTTGTTTGCACAAAAATTGTAATCACTCATTGATTAAATAAGAATTAACTCATTAAGAATGACCACAGAGTGTAGCAAACGATGTTCTAAAATAAATTAAATACCTCAAAAAAATACTAAAAAAAAAACTACTACTAAAAGGAGAAAAAATTAAACTAATTACCGGCTTCTAAACCATTTTCTTCTACCAATGTGCGTGTTCCATTTTCAATCATTTCACATATTTCGATCATCGTCATACCAGGCTTTATAGCTTTTTGTGCATATTTCCGTACCTATAAAATCAACTATTAAGTTTATTATCTAACAGGCTATGTACGTGTTTTTTTTTTTTTTTTTTGAAAGCTGAAATATACCTGTCTGTGTACTTCAGCTGCACGACGAAGGTCATTATAATCATCGTAACGCATCCTGTCAAGATAACGCTTTTCTTCATTCGTCATCCTATTCAAGTTACTGTTAAAAATAGAAATAATAACGTCAATTCAAATATGAAACTTAATATGATTCTATACAATCTTAACAATCTTAACAATCTTAACAATTTTAACAATTTTAACAATTTTAACAATTTTAGCAATTTAGCAATCTTAAGTATAGCTCACTCATTTTTGTATTCACATATTTCACCTTCAGGATATTTGCTATCAGGGAAAAATTTGCTGACAGGAATTGAAGGTGGTTCGGTTTGTTGAATTATTGAGGATCCAACTGGTTCAGTAGCATTAGTTGCAGTTGATTTCTTTTTTTTTTTCTTTTTTTTCTTTTTTTTGGGAGCTACATATATAATATAAATAAATAAATATATATATATATACAGATAAATAGATATACGCATATTTTTATTAGATCAAATGCAAATTCCCATTTGCAAAAAAAATCATTGTCACCAGAATGATATTTACTTTCTCCTACTGTAGTTTCACCTTCACCTTCACCTTCCTCTTCTTCCTCGTCGTTTTCGTCTTCGTCCTTTATTTTGCCGTTATTATGTGGAAGCTCTTCTTTTTCTTTTTCTTTTTCAGGAGTTGATTCTTCTTTCACTTATTTAATTTTAAGGCAAAAGTTTGTAGGGCGTTACTCTTTATGTTATAAATTCAAAGTTAATTAGTCAAGAACCTTGAGATCAGATAAAGTCAATACCTGCAGCAGTGGAATCTAGCTCAGCATTTTCACCCGCAGACTTCTTTTTTTTTTTTTTCTTTTTTTTTATTGCAGTTTCATTTACAATAGTAGAATTTTCTATTGTAACCTCTTCCACCTCTTCACCTTCCGCGGCAACTATTTGACCTTCCTTTAACATTTCTCCACAGAAGATATGGACGAATCGATTAAGGTTTTAATCAAAGAGAAATTAATTTGATTTGATTTGATTCGATTTGGACTCAGCCACATGGATCGACAATTCACGTGTAGATTTTTGACACATCGATAAATAGTTGTTGATTATAGAACGTCATATTACTGAATTAACTGACTACCGCTGCTGAATTATGAAATTATGAACCGTGAACTAGCGGACATACAGTCTTGACAATAGAATTAGGTAAACTAGAAACTATTTAAAGTCCGAAGGAAAGAATAAATATGAATCCGGATTATCCGACAAACGGATATTTTCGAAGCATAAACTTTTTGGTCTGATTGACCAATCAAATATCGTAATTCGCGGACACACACATACAGTTACACAGATTATGCAACTAACGTAATTTCCTTCGGACAATAAGGTAATAAGGATATTAATTATTTAATTATTTTTGGGTCCAGACCAAAAAAAATGATATTACGTCAGATATAAAATTGGACCGGGTTCAGATATAATCGTAATTACCTGGATCTCTTGCAGTTATGTGACACCATTAATAAAAATGTTCTTAATCAATTTATTTAGAATAGGTGTTACCCATACCTGATACTACGTACGTACGTACGTGCAAGAGATCCAATTACCTTACCTAGGTGATACGTATTATTTATCACATTAACTGTAATTCAGATAAATTTGATTAAAATTACGAGTTTTTTTTTTTCTTTACTAATGTTAGTTAATTATCGCTGATATATCATCAATTTTGATGTATCTATATTTTATTCATATTTTATTCATATTTTATTATACGTAGCATCCTTTTCAAATAAATTAATAGTTTACAGTATCACTAAAATGAATTTTCATTATAGTTATTGATATCGATATATTCGAATAAGTTGCATAAGTCAATTGGATACTATATACGTACGTATCTTTAAAATACATATTACGTAAAAGGTAAGAAAAAATTTTCATTTTGTTAAACATAAGTAACAAATTTTTTTTGTCGTATCGGGTATATTGTTCAAAGGACACCAGACATGCACTTAATGTCTCTGACTAAAATTATGATTGATTTCAATATTAATTGTTTGATCAGAAGACAAATGTAATACGTAACCAATTAAAATGCAACCTTCGGACTTTTAATTGAACCTATTAGTATTAAATCACATGTATTTGTATATAAATAATTTAAGCTTCAATAGATAAATAAATGTGTTTTTGGTGGTTTTGCTTGGCTTGTTCTTGTATTGCTATACACTAACTAGTGTCACAAATATATCTGTTCTTACTGCATTAATAAAAAATTAACAAGGCATGGTTTTTAAGTACAAATGATTGGATTTAAATGTTTTCAAAGAAAAAATAATGATAATGATAATGATAATGACAGTGATAATGATAATGATAATGATAATGATAGGTAAATAAAATAAAATAAACCATTAAACGAAATTATTGAACAAAATTATCTTGAGAAATCGACAAGTTTAATATCTAAGGATATTAAGTCGTTAGTCGACTAAAAAAAAAATATTTCGACTAAATCGATTAAGTATTTTTGATTAATCGACTACGTAAAAAATTTGATTATCGTTATATATATTATAATAATAACGATATCGGTAATCATTGATTGTAATTAACTAATTTTTAATTTTAATTTTAATTTGTTAATTTGAATCGGGCAAAAATTTTTAGTCATCAAAAAATCAAAAACTGACTAAAACTGACTATATAAATTCAATTGGTCAATTAGGTGATCAATTAATTAACTCATCGACTAATTAACTACAATTAACTCATCGACTAATTAACTACAACTAACTCTTAACTAATTAACCCCACATTACGGGAATAAAGCAGACAATTGGTCACCAAATCCAAGCATTTGGTCCCCGAAATAAAATTTTAATTACCAAATTATATACCGGGTTGGTGAAAAGTCTCTAAACAGGACCCTGTTTTTTTTTTATCACTAAGAACATCATTCTGACATTTATAATTAGTAATCATTGCAATATTTTCGTATAAATCTTAGCCGAGATAGTAAAAAGGGGATTGTTTAGGTATAAAAATAAATAGAATTAAATATCAGCGGAGATAGAAAAAGTCCCGTTTAGGGTCCTGTTTAGAGACTTTTCACCCACCCGGATACAGTATTAATCATTAACGCGTCTAACCCATCTTCCCACACCCGACGCATCTAATTGGACATAGGAATTTATTAATTAAAATGGCACATCATAACTTGGGATATTTACATATTAACGTTAATGATCAAAATTTCAAATTTTGGGGTAGTTTACAAATGCGCCATAATGGCATACCGTAATGCATTGACTAAAAGACCCTCTTTTTGAGTACCCCTTGTAAAACAGTGACAGTCAACCCTCGGGTATAAGAGTTTCAGGTGTTTTATATTATACCCGGGTCTTTTAATCAGTGCACACGGGTAATTAATTATACCCAGATAAATTTGATTAATAATACATTTCATTAAAGGAAGCAAGGGGCCCGATTAGTCAATTAATCGATTGGTCGATTAGTTGGTGGACTGATTGTAAGAAAAAAAATTAGCTAATCAGCCAACTAATAGTCGATTAGTCTATTAGTCAACTAACTTTATCCTTACATTTAAATCATTTAAATCAAGAGCGACGACTATGAACTATGAGTTGATCAACACATCACGTGTAATACAATACAGCAACACGTTAATAGTAATACAAGCGTCAGGTTAATCGATAGTCTATGATCTACAACTCGCATAACTTGAACTTGTATACATGCCATTAAATAATTCAAGCGGGACTAAATGCATAAATGATAAACTGGTGTGACGTAACTTAGTGTTAGTGTAGTGTTAGTGTAGTGTTAGTGTAGTGTTAGTGTAGTGTTAGTGTAGTGTTAGTGTAGTGTTAATGTTAGGATCAATAAATCTATAATTAGCTGAGAGTTGTTATATGATCTGCAATCAATCAATTATAAATAAGGTGAAGAAGTTAGCATTTACGTTAGAGATGCCGATACGCGCTAGTTTACGCCTTACCGCTACATGAAAGCCGGAAGATTTATAATTTTATAATATTTGGAATCCCTGCAATAGTTCGTATTTACATACTTATACATACTTATATTATACATACTTATATAATTAACAATTTTTTACAATATATATATATATGCTACATATAATTTTATTTATATATATAGGTATATATATAATTGTTTTAAAAAAGAGTTAGAAATGATATAAATATTTTAGTTTATTTATAATATCATATGCAAATTTAATCTATTTATCTAAATAAATTTAAAGATGAAAAAAAATAAAGGTTACTACGTATAATGTAAGTCGTGATTCTAAATAAGAAAACCAATAGTTAAACTTGTTTAGTTTATTGTACATTGATCATATAATAATAATAATAATAATGTTGTGTAGCTACAAAACAAACATGTTGCTTATGTTCAGACAGAGAAACGAATTTTTATTACTTTATATAAACAAAAACTCATAATTTCAAATGAATCCCAAACACTTTTAATACATAGCCAGAAAATTTTTAATTTTTTTAGTATGTACGTAGTATAATACGTAGTATAATCGTAGTATATCTGATATAATACGTCGTATAATACGTATAGTACACATAATACGTATAGTACGATATCACATATCTGATATTGATATGTACAATACGTACGTACGTACGTGCGTAGAAAGCACTTTAATTTACAACTAATTTTAAAATAAATATCGTAACCAAATAATTCATTTAAAAAGTCAATCGCTCAACACTTTTTAAATTAATTACTTGCGTTAATGTCATACGTGCGTGAGTACGTACGTACGGTACGTATGTATGTATGCGATATAGAAGCAGAATTCTACGTACGTACGTCCGTACGTCCGTACGTAAATGGCTATTTATTACTCATTATCACCCATTTCAGAATTTTTCATTCATAACGATAACATAGTATTTCAAATTTTTTTCCTATACACACTAGTTTTTAAAGAAAACAGGCGAATAATAATTTAAAAATGGCCTTATTGTTCTTTTGAGGTTGTGACTTTGGCTAATCCAAAGCAAATATAGCGATAAAGTATCGGTATAGAATTACGTATATACTAATTTAGTAATTTATGAATGCCTTATCGATATATGGTTAAGTTCAAGTAAGGTCCAAGTAAGGTCCAGATCAGGTAAGCAATAGTCATTAGTCGTATGGATATCGTATGGATAACGTGATAATATTCTATAATATCAGAATATCAGATATTCTCTACCACTACGTACATGAAACTCATTAAACGTGCTAAGAAAGTTTAAAAGGGGAGCCACCTCGAAAATTGTTTGTCACCGGGTCTCTTTGTTTTTTTTATTGTCACACCATCAAATTATGTAATTTTCAAATCATTTATGCACACTAAAGGATGTACACTAAAGGATGTACACACCTAAGGCTGTGAAATTTCGGTCCGCAAAAAAAACATATTTCCGTCATTGTCATTATTTACCCACAAAAGAAAAATAGTAATCTCTGTACAAATTATCTGATTTTTACATAATTGATAAACTTTAATGTCGGTTGTAGTTTTTCCGATCACTACTTGCTGATCTTGTCGCGCCGGTTCCCGACGTGTATTTTCCGACTGCAATACAACCGCAATACAACCTTTTTATTATAGTTATATATAGTTATGTTTAAATTCCTTTATTTGTATTTTAATTTATGAATTCAAATGCGTTTAATAGGACAAAAATAGCCGATTACATACGTACTTATGTATTTATTGTACTTAGTAATTACTGAATTGAACTGGTAAATTTTTTATCTTTAAAAAAAAAATTGTTTCGGTTTCAAGTTTGTCTTGCATGCAGTGGATCATTCACTTAATCTTATCATATAATCCGTATATATTGATATGGTTATTTGGAAATATGAAAAAAAAAAAAAAAAGTGACAAACAGAAACGAACGGGTCTAGCCCTAAATCGACCATTTATATAAAAAAAAAAAAAAAATCTTGGCTATCTATTAAACAATGCTATAAATTTTTATTTATCAATATATATATATTTTTAATATATTTTTAATATATTTATATATTTAAAATATTTTTTAAAAAATCATACGTATATAATCCAAATCTTTTCCCTATTTTTTTTTTTTTTTTTAACTTATTCACAAAAAAAAAAAGTTATACCTCATGGATAAAACAGCTTCTACACAAACTTCGATAATATCTGAACCATTATCAATAATACAACCTCCAAATAACGTAGTAACTTTACAACAACAACAACAACCTTATGTTCATTCTTGGACATTAAGAGGTTTTCATGAGTTAGTTAGACTCATGTCTTTTAATAGTTACCTATATAGTGACAGATTTAGATCTCCAAGAGGTTTATTCGACGCGAATTTACTATGTCCTCCTGGAACTTGGACCAATGACTTTTCTTTATGTTCTGCTCAACCTCATTTACCACCTCACTTACAATCTCACTTACAACCTCCTTTACCACCTCATTTACAACCTTGTCCTTTTAGCAGTCAAGTAAATCGTAGGCAAAAACATAATACTCCTCTTTCAAATGACGATTCCGCTTATCTATGGCGTATGAGAATTTATCCTAATGGTTCCACTAAAAAATCTTGTGCTGGTCACATTTCCATATATCTGGAAGCAATTCAAACTCTTTTCGAAAAACAAAATTTTTTTTTTAGACGAAGTGTTCAATTCAAATTTTTACTTTATCGTTTAATAAAATCTACTTCTTTAACCGATTCTTCAAATAGATCTGATGATAATTATAATAGTTCTTCTACTTTTTCAAGACATAATTCTTTAATTCAAGATTCTTCAAAAGAACGTCCTGAATTAATTTATGAAGGTTCTTTACAAAAATGGGATTTCGAATTTCATGGAATAAATTCCACTTATGGTTTCCCTACTTTAGGAACTTTTCATGATTTATTTCCTTTCGATGATATAAACATTAATGAAGTTGATTTAGTAGTTCGAGTTCATATTTATAATAATAATTCTTTTTTACCTCCTTTCTCCGATTTATCTAATCCTTTTTACCCTTCCGATCTTTGTTCTTCTTTATTTTCTCCGGCTTCTTTTGAAAAATTCTTTAATAGTGATTCTTATTATGATGTGGCTTTTACTTTTGAAAATGATGATCCTCCGGTTGATATTCCTTCTTCTTCTCCTCCATCTCCTACTGTTGATCTTAATTCTAGTTCCGATTCTAGATCTGATTCTAAATCGGATTCTAAATCGGATTCTAGACTTGTTTCTAGATCGGATTCTAGAATTGTTTCAAGATTTGATTCGAGATTTGATTCTAAATCTCTTAAACCTTCTTCTAAATTTGTTCGTACTATAAAAGCTCACAGAATAATTCTGGTCCAACGTTCGGAATATTTTGAAAAATTCTTGGGTGGTGGTTGGAAAGAGGGTAGTTTAAAAACAATTCCAATAAAACATATTCCTTTCGAAACTTTTCGTAGTATACTTTATTATTTATATACTTTTAAATTAGATGATAATTTAGATTTTTCTATTCTTAAGGATGTTTATACTAATGCTGATATGATGAGATTGGAACAACTTTCTCAATTGGTTGCTGATAGAATTATTCGTATGGTGGATTATGATAATTGGGATCAAGTTTTGGATTTAGGTTGGAAATCAAATAGCTTTGGTAGTAAATTATTATTAAAAAACGCTGCTTATGATTTTATTCATAGTCATTGGTCGGATATTAAGAATACTGAGAATATGTCTTCTTTACTTCATTCGGCTACCGTTGATTGTATTGAAGAATTAATGGAAGCTAAAATGTTTGGTCCTCCTAAATAATCCCCCTTTTTTTTTTTATTGGTTATGTATTTTTAGTTGTTGATAATTTGAGGTGCTATAATTAACGTAAGTACTTTTAATTTTAATGAAAAAAGATTATAATAATTATAATAACATTAATAATTATTAATGATTATGATAATTATAATCTTAACAGTTACAATTAACATTAACATTAATAATTAATTATGACTTAATTAATAATCAACCTTTTTTTATTTATTTTATTTTTTATTTTATTCAAAACTTCAAACAGCAACAGACATTACAAATGGTTGTGTAAATAGTGGATTATTTTTTTTGTACATACTATATATAAAAAAAAAACTTTTTGTATATATATATCTCTTGTTTTTAAAAAAACATTACAAATTCATTATCGAACTTCTATGTTAAGGATTTTTATATCTTCAAATGGTTTATCTAATTTATCAGTTTTGGCGTTTTCTATTGTATGAATCACATCCATTCCTGCTGTTGCTCTTCCAAATATCGTGTGTTTGTTATCAAGCCACGGCTATTTAATTTTTCCGAAAGGTTATGATTTTCGTGATTAAGTGATTCAGTGATTAAACAAAGAAAAAATTCAGGAGGTGATATATGATGTAATAATTTTTTAACTTACCGTTTGAACAACCGTGATGAAGAACTGTGATCCATTAGTGTTGGGTCCCGCGTTAGCCATACTTACTGTGTATGGTCTATCATGACGTAGATCTCTATGAAATTCATCTTCAAATTCTGACCCCCAGGCCGATTCTCCTCCCGTTCCATCTCCTATTTATACAAATTTAATTATTTTTATTATTACATAATAAGTAATTAATTCACTGAGAGGATCATACCAAGTGGATCTCCTGTTTGGATCATGAAGCCTTTTATAACTCGATGAAATATCACATTATTATAATATCCGTTCTTTGCGTGCGTTACAAAATTTTCAACTGCTTTTGGTGCATATTCAGGAAACAATCTTATATGAATATCTCCTGATGTGGTACGTAAAATCGCCGTATTTCCTAATTTCTGTTTGGTTGGGGTAGCTGAAGCAACTGTTTGTTCTTCGCGTGAAGGTTTTTCATTATATACATCTCGATCTCCTTTGTGTGAATCATGTCTAAATAAAATTTTCTTATTTGTTAACATCAATATATAGGCAAACCGAATTTCTCAAAAATTATATAAATAACTAACGCGTCTGGCTCTCGTTGCGTAAACATGAAAAATCGATTTCTCTTGAATGCTGTGCAAAATATGGTTGGATCTGTAGCTTCGCTTTCTTTCATCAAAGGATTGTCTGACGCTGCCATTGCCTAAACATGATCAAATATTCCACGTCAACTATATATATATAATTCACTTACAATGTCATTTTTATAACAATAAGTAAAAACATGTATATATTTACCAATGTAACAATCATTTTTTTCTTTGGTGCTCCTTGATACAATGACATGTTTAAAAAACGATGAGGTTCCGTCTTGCCAATTAATCTCACCACCTTATTTGTGGTTAAATTCACCACTAAAAATAAAATCAATCAATTTCAATATTATGTATACATCACTTAATACGTTATCAAATGTGCTAACCTTTGATACCCAACATTGTAGGATAAATTATGAAATTTCCACTCTCATCAAATACTAAAACAATCATTTTAAAAATTTATTTTTTTTTATAACCGGTATTTTTAAGTAATTAAGTAAAGTATATGATTTAATTTAATCTAACCTGCATTCATGGTATTAGCTTGTTGTGTCTTTTCCAATTCACGTTCGACAGCCAGGCGACGACCGAATTCCATATCATCTAACTTGTAAATAGTTGTTCCCGCCTATAGCATGCCAGCATAAATTTATTAAATAATAATATGTACGAAATTTAATTAATACCGTATAATTAATAACGCGTATGAAAATTTAATTAATAACATGTATGAAATTCAATTAATAACGCGTATGAAATTTAATTAATAGCGCGTATGAAACTCAATTAATAACGCGTATGAAAATTAATTAATATCATGTATTAAAAAATATAAATTTACAACAAACCTGTTGCATTTCTCCCATAACTGCTAAAGACTCATCATATTTTCTGGTCAACTTTCCTGTTGAAAACCTGAAAACGCGTACTTGACGATCATCAATGCTCATGGTAACAAATTGTTGATAATCTGGTGAAAATGTCAATGATATTGGAACAGATTTGGACTAAAAAAAAAGGTCTTAGGCTTTGTGAATACATAATATAACTTTGATAAAACCTTTAGAAATTACCTTTTTAAACTCATAAAGATCAGTATCAGATTTATACTCAAATGAAACTGTTTTAGGTAAGTCGAAAGGTTCATCAGGTGACCAGTATTCTATCATACCCGATGTATCTATTGATACAACGCAATGATAAGCCTCGTTGTACTAAAAAAAATAAAATAAATAAATAAAATATATACACACATTTTCGTCTCCAAAATTAAAAATGCAGAATTTAAATAACATACCGCCATTAAATGAACGGGGCTGGAATGTATATCTGAAAGTATATATAATGGTGTGGAATCACCTCTTCCATCATAAATATAAATTTTGTTTGAATTATGATCTGAACTGATAATAAATATAAGAAGTGAATTAAGCTTAATATTTTTATTCTCTAAATATGAATATGACCAATGACACGTGACTTACCAAGCAACTAGAGATTGTGCTTGCCCCCTTTTGTGAATCCAACAAATACAATTTGGTACATAATCAAATTTCATCATGTTGATCATATCTGAATATGGAAATAAGGTTAATTTGATACCCACGGCGATGATTCAATGAATAAAAAACGTTACTTGCCAAAATTTATGACATCATATACTTTTAATGCTTTGTCAATGGCTACAGTAGCGAGTAATAGTCCATCTGCGGATACACTGATACCTGTTATGTTTCCTGTAATGCACGAACAACATAATACATTCAATCAATACAATCAAGGCAATTAAAAAAAAAAAAAGGAAAAATATTCAAGAACAATTAATTACCAAGATGTGATCGAAAATGTTTAACAAATTCTATTCCTCGTTCATTTTTTTTCCAAAATTTCAAATGTCCATCGACTGAGGTTGTGATTATAAAATCCGTTCTTGTTTAAATCAAAATCAAAAAAATCAAATTAGGTAATATTCATCTACATTTCTATATAAATAATATAAAAAGATAAATACTTACTTTGTAACAGCCACATAATTTAAAACATCACGATGCATATAACTTCGTTCATACATATCAGCCGATGGTAAATGATCCAAATATAATTTCTCATGGGCCAAAGCTACGAAAATATAAAGATTCTTTAATATCCAATAATAACTAAATGTTGGATTAATAAAATCGATCGATTAATTACCCCTTTTCTTTTTTTTTCGCATGTCATCTGCCGTTGGTAAAGATGGCCCAATGTCAAGATCATCGTCATCTACAAAGATTCAACAAGATAGTTTAACATTGAAAAGTTTCACAAACAAAATAAATCCGACCGATCTAACTTTAAATACTTAATCAGAACATTACCTTGTTCTTCAGCTTCTTTAATCGGAGGATTGTCTTGTTCTTCTGCTGAGATCGCTTCAGGATCTTCCCTTACACGTTTGCTTGCTTTATTTGACATGACGTTTTTCTGAAATAATACCATATATACGCAATGACCACCTGCATTTTTATAATTCCATAAATAAGGAAGGTAGCGACCTTGGCACGTGATTATGACCGCATCGTAAACTTATATGGTGGGATCTGTGCAGAGAACTTGAACTTCTCTAGTAAGAGACGTCCTCGAGATAATTGTTTCTTTTATAACCTTTCGACTTGTTTTTAGATTGTCAACTTACAAAATTAATTCTTGCTTTTTCATAATATTAGAATATTTTAGACTTAGGGGTGCTTAGTTATTGTGTTATTAATCAAATAATTGTTCGCTAATCCATAAAAAGTAGACATTATTAATATTAATTAATAAAAAAAAAAAAACTAGTTTTTTTAGATAACGGCTTATAAAGAATGTCTTCAACTCAAGTAGATACACCTCAAGCCGATAATTGCCCGTTATGCGATAATAAACCCCGTTTCATGCCTCTTTGGCTTCAAGAAAATACTGAAACATGGATAAAATGTGATATTTGTCTTGTTTGGTGTCATGCGGCTTGTCTTAAACTTCCAACCGAAGAATGTGAACGAATTGATGAATATCATTGTCCAAAATGTGCAATATCCCATGGTCCAAGTACTTGTAAGCAAAATTATCATATAAAAATTCGTAAAAATATAATTAATCGTATTGTATATAAGCAATAAAAATTTTTTTTTCTTTTCATTTATAAGTTTTTTTTTCCTAAAGTTAATTGATTATCCATCTGAATTGTAAACGTCATTACAATTAACATAATAATTTGACATTACAATTAACGTTATGATTGATTATTTAAATGACCATCTAATCTACTCTATTCTTTTTTTTTTTTTTTTTTTTAGACAAAGTACGAAAATCCCTACGTGAACATTCTAGGATTAATTATGCTGACTTGGAAAATGGTTTAACTGGAAATCCATATAAATGGAAACGAGTTCTTGATTCAAAATCTTTTGTTAATCATAAATTTCCAAAAATACGAGGTGATCAATTAACATTAGATTGGATTCGAACTTTCGGACTTGATGAACCAATCATTATAGATAATCCTGAAGGACTTGAAATGAAAATGCCTTCAAAAGATATAACTGTTAGTTACATCGCTGCAACTGTTGGTAAGTATATTATTATTTTTTTTTTAATCTACAAGTGATGTACGTACATGACATAATTACTTTTATTATTTAGGTTACGATACGCCAGTTGACGTCATTGGTAACATTTATAAACCTTTATAATAATCATAAGTCATTAATAATAATAATAATAATAATAATAATAATAATAATAATAATAATAATAATAATAATAATAATAATAATAATAATA